GTCCACAAGTCTTAAAGTTGCCAAGGTTGGACACCCCTGACCTAGGCAAAGACTAAGACTTCTGGAGAGGTAAGGCAAAAACAAGGTCTTGGCTAGGGTACCAGGAACCATGTTTGGCAAAATCCAATAAAAAGCATTTTACCAAAAGAACCTGATGCCAACTGCAAAAGCATGGTAGTGGAAATGTTATGGTTTGGGAAAGAATCCACTACGAATTCTTCATAATACCAAAAGGTGCTTGAGGATAAAGGGAGACCATCTGTCAGAAGATTAAAGTTCAACCAAAAGTGGACCTTGCAACATGACAATGACCCTAAACATTCCATTGAATCCACCAAGTAATGACTGGAAAAGAAAGAAAGAAAAAAGGGTTCCAGACAGGCCAAGTCAAAGCCTAGATGTAAATCCCATCAAGATGTTGTGAGATAATTTGAAACAGGCTGTGCATGCAAGAAAGCTCTCAAACATTGCATAGCTATAAAAAAATTATGAAGAACTAAAAAATAATAATTCTTCCAATTAATGTCAGAGACTGGTTGACCGTTATAAAACCTGCCCCAAAGGGGCCAAATATCAGATATTAGAACCAAGGGCGTTCTTACTTTTTCCAGAGAATAAAAATGACACGTTATTTTTTTCTGGTTGAATAAATGATTGCAAAGTCAATTTCCGATTGAAATTGTGTTTTTTTTGTGTTCAGTTCAGAAGTGGTATTCAGCGGGTTCTGATCAGTTCTGGAGAACCAGTAGCGGAAATTTTGAGTAGTTCGGACAACCAGCAAATACCACCTCTGACTGGAGATTTTACAGTATCCTTCCCCTGCCACGCCCAAGCCACGCCCATAGAACCGGTAGTAAAAAAAATTGAATCCCACCACTGGTTCAGTTATGTTACCCTTATATTTATTATACTCTTTGAATGAAGATAAAATATTGGTATGGCCACATGTTAAAAAAGGGGGGGGAACCCTTTTAGTTGGGGTGTGCTTACTTTTCCGCGTATTTTGATAGTGCAGTATCACAGAACAACAGATTTGCCTCATTTTCATAACAAATGAGGCAAATATGTTGTTCTGTGAGATTCAGTGATTATCAGTGGTTTCCTAGGGGTTAAAAAAGGCAAGATGGCATGCACACAAAAGGGTTGTGTCCTCAGTCACAGGTTGGGGGCATGGTCTTGATATTTTAATCCCTTGTCCTTGTATGGAATCTCTTCAGATTTATTATATGAGTTGAAGTGCTCCCTATCCACCCTTCAAAAATATATGTATACTGACATATTTACTATCCCCACTCAAATAGATTAACAGAATTGAAAGGGACCTTGTAGGTCTTCTGGTCCAGTGAGCACCCCCAAGCAGGAAATCCTACACCATTCCTGACAGATGGCAGACCAGTCTCTTCTTGAAAACTTCCAGTGATGAAGCTCTCACAACTTCTGAAGGCAAGCAGTTCCATTGGTTGATTGTTTTCACTGTCAGAAAATTTCTCCTTATTTCTAGGTTGAATCAGAAATAAGTTTCCATGTTTGATCAGTTTCCATCCAATATTCCTTGTCTGGCCTTCAAATGCTTTGGAAAATAGCTTGACCCCTTCCTCTCTGTGGCAGCCCCTCAAATATTGGAACAATGCTATCATGTATGCCCTGGTCCTTCTCTTCACTAGACTATGCCCAGTTCCTGCAACCGTTCATGGTATGTTTTAGCCTCCAGTCCCCTAATCATCTTGATTGCTCTTCTCTACACTTTTTATAGAGTCTCAATATCTTTTTATAATGTGGTGACCAAAACTGGACGCAGTATTCTAGGCGTGGTCTTACAATGGCTTTATAGAGTGGCATTAGTACCTCACTTGATCTTGATTGTATCTCTCTCTTAATGCAACTCGCTGCAATCTTATTTCTGTCCAAGGTAATGATTAATAAAACCTAGAGAAATTTTAAAACACTGAGGCTGCCCTGGGACAAGGACAGAATGAAAGGGAATGCCACTTTAACACAAGTACAGCTAAGAATGATTTAATCCTGTCTTATTCATAGGTGGATGAGTATCATTTGGCACAGCATGAAAACGATATTGCCAGGACATGTTTGTATCATAGTTTAGGTGCACAAAGATTCCATGAGGAATGTTTTGATTGTGCCTGCCTTTGCATAGCATTACAGGAATGAAAACAGATCACTTGTTTTATTTCTTCTTGCAGGTTTACAAGTACAAGGTAGTGTAAAGGGAGAATGAGACCTTATGATTGCTTTACCTAGCCTGATGCCCTCCAGATCTACAGTTCTTCAACTCAGGTAACTAGAAATGGAAGGTTATCTGACACAACTGCGCCTGGAGTGCACTTTCTACTGTATTTGGAGGAGAGCAAAGAGGGCCTACTTAGATTGCCCCAAGGGAAAGTCACCAAGTGAAGCCACACAGCCACTTTACTGCCTGTTTTTGTTGCTCCCCTCTGGGGGGAGGTTTTGAAGTGTTTCTAGTAGTACTACCCGATTCTGTAATTGCTCCCTATGCCATCCCTCTGGTAAACTTGCAAGATTAGTTTCAATCGCCATGCGGGATTCAAAAAAAATTTACTACCAGTTCTGTGGGCGTGGCTTGGTGGGCATGACAGGGAAAGATAGTGCAATATCCCCATTCCCTCCCCACTCCTGAGGGAAGGTAACTGCAAAATTCCATTCTCTCCCCATCCTACTAACCTGATTTCCAGCTCCGTTCTCCTATGCAGGGCAACAAAAGAAGACCCAGCCGATCAGCTGGGACTCGGGAGGCAAAGAATAGATGTGGACAGGTGCAGTATTTGCTGGTTCTCCGAACTACTCAAAATTTCCAATACCCGTTCTCCAGAACTGGTCAGAACCTGCTGAATAACCAGACTTGAAATTCTAGACCTAGAAAACCTAAAACTACGCCGCCTTCGGTCTGATCTAAGTATAGTATATAAAATTATATATTGCAATGTCCTATTTGTCAATGAATACTTCAGCTTCAACCATAACAATACAAGAGCACACAATAGATACAAACTCAAGGTAAACTGCACCAAACTTGATTGCAGGAAATACGACTTCAGCAACAGAGTGGTCAATGTCTGGAATACTCTACCTGACTCTGTGGTTTTTTTCCCCAAACCCCAAAAACTTTAACCTTAGACTGTCTACTATTGACCTCACCCCTTTCCTAAGAGGTCTGTAGGGGGTGTGCATAAGTGCACCAACGTGCCTACCGTCCCTGTCCTATTGTTTCTTTTTATTTTTCTTATATGTATCCATTTCATGTACTCATAACTATGTCTATACTTATACCTGTAATCTTATAATCGCTTGACTAAATAAATAAATAAATACCGCATGCATACATCTGGACTAGACTGTGTTGTTTCTCTGTGTCATATATGTGGATATATATACATAATTTTCTTTCTTTATTTTCATGGTCATGTAGTGCATATTGGAGGTGGCCAGAAGTGCACGCAACGAAATTTCATTTTCGTGCGTGCCGATTAGCGTACATTCATAGTGACCATAAAGCTATTCTGTTCTATTTTGTTCTATTCTTGAACCACGTTCTTCTTTTAGCAAACGTCACTGGCATGTTCGCGAGTATGAGGGACGAGAGATTAATTGAAACTAGGGACTGCTTTCGGGCACGGACGGCGTGAATCATTCGCGTGAGTAGGGCAGCCCTCGCCGCCCGAAAACTTTTGGATGCATTCCCGTCCCCGCCGTCACTCCGGGGTGGGGCTCGGAATTGGAAGCCGGCCCCTAGAAGGTGAGAGGCGGCCGCCCGCAGAAACCAGCCCTGAGTCTCTCTCTGGGTGCGGGGCCACGTGGAAGCCCCAAACAGCGCAGGTTTGGGGTTTTTTCCCCCCCTCGGCTTCCCCGAACTTTCGCGGGAAGCGCCCGAGTGGGAGGGAAACGAGAGGCTGAGTCGCGCAAAAACCCCTTTTCGAGATTGCGTGGCTTCTCCCCTGCCAGAAAGGCGCAGAGGCGGGTGAAATCGCTCCGGGGTGGCCCCAGTTTATCGCTTCACCGAGTTGGTCTCGAAAAGTTTTGAAGAGGTTTCGGAGAGGGAGGAGCAAAGAAACCCAGCGCCCAATTTCCCCTTTCCTTTTTTTTTTTTTTTTTTTTAAAAAAATCGCTTTCGTCGGGTCCCAGATTTATTTATTTATTTATTGCCCGTCGAAACGAAGGTGGTTGGAACGAGGGCGATGGGGTTTCCCTCGTGAACTTTCCTACCAGCCCGGCGCTAGACGAGGACCAGAAGAAGGGAGGAAAAAGAAGAATCCCGCCCCAGAGGATGCTAACTGAAACCAAGTAATGCCAGCATGTACGTTTCTGCCTCGGCACTTGTTCTTACTGAAAGGAATCGCGCTTTGCTTCCCTTCTCTCCCCCACCCCCCCCTTTCCAGTCCCTTCTTTTCCTTCAAGCCTTGCGAATCGGTCTCGGTTCCCTTGTCAGCCTCTCTGGAGAAGCGAACGCGTTTTGTCTTGTACGCTTCCCTTGCACGCTGTATTCCAGCCAAAGGATTTGGTGCTCTATCTCTTCTTCTTGTTCTCCCTCCCATTCCTAGTGACTTGACTTTCTTTTGGCTGAATGAGGATCGGGGGTTTATGGTTTAGTGTGTCATCAGGACAGATCCGGTGACTCGTTCTGTGCAGAGAAAAAGGTAGGGCCCCAAAAGCTAACTTTAAGGAAGAAAAAGTTAAAAAGAAAAGAGCCAAGCTGAGATGGAACAGACCTAGCCCAATCTTTGAAAGCTGAGAGCTGGATGATCACAGGAAAGTTCTTTCTGTGGATTTTCTTTTTTTAAACCAAATGAGTTCACCTGGTGGATTTAAAGCCATAGATGGACGGTTTGGGTTTTCTTGCAGGTTTGCAGTGCAGCTGGATGGAAAGTTCATAAAAGTAATTGACATTTACTTTCAGTTTTTGTGTAGAACTTCGACAAGTAGTCTCAGATCTCAGCTAAATATTATTTGGGGGTGGCGTGATTTAAAAGCCCAGCTTTATTTGAGAGAAGATGTGAATAAACTGTTTTACAAATATTTTACAAAGAAATACTTCCAGCTAAAAAAAGATGCTGTGCCGAAAAGAGGAAAAGGAAACTCATGAAAAAAAGATACTCACCACCTTTCAAAGTTCTTTGGTTGCTGAGGTGCCAGTGACAGATCTTCTTGTCTATCTTAGGAAGAAAATATGGTATTGACATTTGAATGATGATGCATTTAACTTTCCTAGTGGCTGGACTAACATATTAGAGAGAATGTGCAGTATTATAATATTGCATAGTGACCTAAGATGCTCATTACTTTTGCTTTGAGTTGATACTTGCTAAGTGTCAAATGATAATATGTAGTTGTGAGCCAAGAAGTAATAATGAAAATCATTTTGAAAATAAATTGTCCCATTTTATCTATAGCACTTAGGAACTTTTAATAAAGCAAATTACTGAAGATAAACAACATTTTCATAAACATGTTTTCCTGTAAGAAATTTACCCCAAAGTCTGCCTGGTTTGGATTAAAAAACCTCTAGTTATTGAAATTAATCTTAAAAAGCAATATTTTTATGCTATGTCCATCATACTAATCCAATTTATTTATTTATTTAAAACATTTATACAGCTGCCCATCTTAAGCCACATTGGGGAGCTCACAACAATAATAAAACCAATAACTATAAAGCAATTATAAAACAATTAACTATTCTGAATAATTTGCAAGGAAAGTTATAAATGGGGATATATAGTGTTTTTAAAACTTTATTACAAGTTATAAATGGCTGGAATGATCTGAAGAGAATGTTATGGGGATATGGGCAGGTATAAAATGGCATAGATGATTTTACACCAGTGTAAGACAGAGTTAGGGTTAGGAGAATTTTATTGTATTCTGTTTTTGTCCTTCTTTGTGTTCCACTACTATGATGTAGGGAGGCGTAATTACAAGTACTAGGATAGATTAAGGAAAAAGTCTAAACCTAAATCTTGTTACACTTGGTGGGGAATAAACTAAATGGAAAAGTATATATGTTCCTGAGTAAATGTGCACAGGATAAATTTGTTGACTGATAGTGGATTAAATGAATAGTTGGCTTTGAAGATAGGACACAATACTTTAATCAAGATTGTTATGATAGTGAAATTAGATAAGATTGCATTATAATAACTGTTGAACCCTGAGGCTAAAATGAAAAAAAACCCACATCTGTGCAACCAATACATAGCAGTCATTAACTTTTATAATTAATTTGGTTCAGTTCCTTATTATTAATTACAAAACTTGAAGTGAAAAAGTTGAAATGAACTCAGTTTATCATTTATGCAACATTACTAGTAATGATTAATATCACGTGGTAATATCCTTCTATTACATCTTATTTTATTTGTTGTTGATTTTTCCCAAAGTATTTTGGAAGTTTCAAACTCTATCCTTTTTTAAAGGAAACAACTGTGACATATTCTCTCTCTCTCTCTCTCTCTCTCTCCCTCTCCCCCCCCTCTCTCTCTCCCTCCTTCCCTCTCTCCTTCCCCCCCTCTCCTTTGTATAATATCAGCAAAATGGTATTCAAAGGGAAATCCCTATTTGCATGATCTCTCTTAGTTGAAACTTCATTTTTAGTAAGCAGCTGCATGAATTCTAGTAGTTCTGATGGGTAGTCATGCAAGGTCATAATTATATGAATGAAACCATGGAAACTTATAACTCATTCTATTCATTAATCTTTCCAAAGTCAGGCTTTGTTGCATGCCATTTTAGAGAGTTGTATAGAGCTCTCTATAACAGTACGTCATATTGATAGCACAGTAGTGCTAAACATCCCTCTAATTCCTTTCGATTTTTGTAATATGTCTGTCTTGTAAATTGCTTAATCAGCAATATATGTGTATTAAAATAATGGGATTTAAGATTAATGGTTCATTTCAGCTGCTACATTTTTACTAGCATTTGTAATCAACAAAAGCAAGGCTTTAAGGTGAATTATGGCACTTTCATAAAAGTAGTGGTAAGCCGAAATAGAATATGTCTGTTTGCCTATCGATCTGTCGATCTATCTGTCTTCCTCTTAAACTGAGATATTTATTATCCATTTTCTTGTAGACTGTTTTCCTTTTTATTGGATAGCATTTAAAACTGATCATCAAGTTTCATATAAAAGATAATACCTCCAAGGAATTCTGCATGCTAGTAAATAGTAATGGGCATTCCTGAATACATTATGCTTACAAGAATCATTTCAGGCTTTATTCCTATCATTATTTTGATCACAACTGTTGGCTGCTATCTCTCTGGCCTAGGCCTCCATAAATAAAACATGGGAAATCTACTAAGTCTATAGATAGGAATATTATGTACACATTGGGTTTAGAGCATAAATTTTTTAGATTAATGGACTATACCTCAAAACACAGCCACAATGCTCTGAGTACTCTAGCTGTTAAAAATATTAATAAAATTGAAATTTTTCTTCCTTTCTTCCCTCTCTGCCTCCCTTTTTCCTTTCTTCCTCACAAACTTCTTATAAGTTACTAAACCAAATGCACCCTGCCTCAACAACAGCATCTAAGTGAATCTGATTTTTTGCTGAGAATAATGTGAACTGTGTTCTGTCTGATTACTGAATTTATTACGGCTTATGTATATCTCACACAATGTAACAGTCTAAGAACCACAGTTGGTTACTGGTGGCTGCAATGGTAGCAATTGAGGGAAGAAAAACACCTCTGAAATATTTTGGTGACGATCGCTGGTAGAAGGATCAATGTATGGACATTGCAATACTAATCCTAAAAGAGATTGCAGCAGATTGGAAGAAAAGGGATTGTGGAGAAGAATGGGGGGAAAGACAAAATGGGAGTGCTGTATTTAAAAGTATTGTATGATGAAAAGTTTTAATTACAACCTATGCTGGACTTGGTATTAAAAAGGTTCCAATCCAGAAAATAGAGTTTAAGTGTGTGTGAGTGAGAGGGAGGGAGTGGATTTGATTTTAATAGTAAATCTGATATAATTATTAAGGGCTACCTTACAGATACATAAGATTTCCAGGAACTTGGAGTAATTTTAATAGGCATGATTTCAAGGTGAGAAAAGATCTCTTTAAGTAGGATTGATTGAAAATGATAACCGTTTAATATTCAAAATGGAGTATGCATTTGCACTATTTAGCTTAGCTGAAAATTATAGCTGTGGAATAATAGTACATTGACCATTTGGGGTTTTTCCTGGATAGATAAGGTACTTTGTTTTACTGAATTAGTACAGCCTATCCTTAAAATATAAAGATTTCTTCAGCCATTTTTTCTTAGTTAATATTCTTAGCCTCTCTGTAGACTATTTCAGTATTATACACGTATAGAAAAATGATACTAAGAAACATACAAGCAAACTACTTCATCTAGTAAAGAATTCAGAATATGTGTGTTCATTTATTAACCATTCATTATGGATCTCTGGTATCTCATTTTCAGAAATTTTAGCAAGGATTTATTTGCAATTGCATTGACATGCAGGACAATCATTGTGTTGTGTGCTAATCCAGTTATTTTAGCATGTCTGGCTTCATCAAAGAGCTTTTTATATTTCAGAGAGCAACATGTAGTGTAGGATTACCATTAAGTTTAATGTTACTGTTCTTCAGAAAGCTGAGTCACTTTCTGAGTTGATAATTTAAAACACTTCAATAAAGAAAAAATGTGATTGATTAATCGGCTAGTTATTTATGAAAAATCAATACTGTTGTATAATTTTTAACTAGAATGAAACTGATCTTGTTTGTACATTTACCTTTAACAGACATAGACATTTTTCTGTCCTGTGTAAGAAATCTCTGTGCCATTATCAAGGGAAGAGCTAAGTTGTATTAGAAATATAAGGTCCCTGTAAAATGGCTGCTTTTGTCTGAAAAGAAAAACCAAGAAGGAGATACTTTCCATACACGGAGATTAATCTCAAAACGACTTCTTGTTTTACTGATGTTTTAGATTAGATCTTTCATAATTCTGGAAGGACATATGGAACTGGAGGTAAGGCATCTGGAGAATATTAGGCCGCCTGTGAGGAAACTCAGATGTTCTCAGAAGACCTAAGTGCTGCATTTGATTTGCTTCATATTCCCTTTCTCACGTAGGCACAATTGTCATGAATCTAATGAACATAAATATTCTGTTGATAGCTACAAGTATGGGGTTAATATTAATACAGGCTGATGATATTTAATAAATTAGCAATCTCATTTTATATATTACGAAATGCAGTTAATGACTGTCAGCCACTGGCCTATAGCTCCTACATGACAATAAGGTTTTAAAACAACTTTCCACTAAAATCAGTGAAGGCAACTTTAAAACCCTGCTGTTATGCATCGGGAAGAAATATTTAAGAGTCAGCTTCAGAATACAACTTTATTCTGGAAAAATAGGGCTGTACAAGATGTAACTGAGTCGACCAGAAAAAAAAAATCTAAATGGATCAAGAGTGTGACTTCCTTTCTTTCTACATCTCTGCCATGTATGTCACCAGTGCCTACCCATTCATTTCCCCTTTTGATCATATGTAGCAGAAGTAGAGAACGTAGAGTCTTTTAGATACTGATGAACTATACTTTTTATAATCTAGTCAGAATGCCCTTTGTTAAGTGGACTTGTAGCTATAGAATATAAAGAGGAGCACAATGTAGATTAGGAGTGTCAACCTTGATTTCATTGAGGGCCGCATCATGGCTGTGTTTGACCTGGGGGTGGGGGCTCAATGTCACTTGTGTCGGGGTGCCAGCAAAAACGGGGTCCTGAACTCAGCCTCCTGCAACCCTCTGCCAGCAAAAATGGAGCTCATTCCTTTTTCGCTGGCAACAATCCTTCATTGTTTTCAGGGCGCCCCATAGACCAGATCTAAGCACCCTGCAGGACTTGAGTTTGACAAGCCTGATGTAAATTCTCTTTATGTTGTGGTAGCAATGTACCATTTATTTGTATCCCCAGAGATACCCCAAACTGCTTTCTCTGAACCAGTCAACTTTCCTTGCCATCCTAACCCCAAAGTCCCTCCGCACACCAGCTGATACTAACTTATGCCAAGCTGAAAACACAGCTTAGAATTTTTAAATAGAATTGAAATCTTTATTGGCCAAGAGATTGGACACACAAGGAATTTGTCTTGGTGTAAATGCTCTCAGTGTACATAAAAGAAAAGATACATTCGTCAAGAGTCAAGAATCATAAGGTACAGCACTTAATAATAGTCATAGGGTACAATAAGCAATCAAATCATACTAGAAAACAGTCAATAAAAATCATTAGGATACAAGTTACAGTCATATAGTCATAAGTGGGAGGAGATGGGTGAAAGGAAGGATGGGAGAATTAATAGTAATAATAATAAAATAAAACATCATTAGTAATGAAGATGCTGCATAGGTTAGAGTGAACTGCAAAAGGCAAATGTCTCTTGGCTCTGTTAGTAGCATAATCATTGTTATATAGCTATTTCCTTAGTAGATGCAGTGATGCAAAAGTCAGCATTGGGATCTGATATCCCAATGGAGGAAACAGTTGTCCTGCCTCTTTGGTTAATCATAGTGCAATTCTCTCCTGGCCTGCATGCAGTGGGGTGGTTCATATACTAGTGAGCATGCAGTAATCACCAATTAGAGCACATTGTCTCTGAACCAGATGTACAAAAGGAAGTTAAAGAAAAGGGGTAATACATTCATCTCAGCTTCCTCTTCCCTGTTGGTAATGACGATCACACGTCGTCAGCTTTCCATGGACCACTCTAGTGGTTTACTAGGCTTTGGTTTCACCTCCCCTTTGGTTTTTAGGAGATTTGTGATTGGCATTGCTATCTTCGCAAAAGCAGGGATAAATTGACGGTAAAAATTGGCGAATCCCAAGAAACTTTGAAGTTGTTTCCTGGTGCGGGGAGGGGCCCATTCCAAGACGGCACGAACCTTCCCCGGATCCATTTCTATGCCCTCATGTGAGATGCGATAACCTAAATAGTCAATTTTTTCCTGGTGGAATTCACACTTGGACAACTTTGCATACAGCTTAGCGGCTCGAAGTTTTTCCAAAACTGACCGCACTAGTTTCACATGTTCATCACGAGTCTCCGTGTAGATAAGAATATCATCAAGATAAACCAACACCTCTTTGTATAGATGTTCATGCAACACCTGATTGATCATTTGCATGAATACTGCAGGGGGCCCCTGTAGGCCAAATGGAAGAACGTTGAATTGGAAACAACCCATTGGGCAGTTAAAAGCGGTTTTCCATTCATCCCCTTCCTTAATTTGAACCCGGTAGTACGCTTCTCTCAAGTCGAGCTGCATAAATTCGGCTTCCCCTGCTTCCTCTAGCAGCAGAGAATCTTGTCCTCCAGTTGCTCCCAGGTCTTCTTGGTCGCTGGCTGGATTTGACATTGTGTTCAGACCCCCCTCGGAAGAAAATTTATTAATTCTCCGGGTGGGCTGGTAATGTGGAGATTCAGAATAATGTCAGCTGGTGCTCCATTCAAAATCCAAGAAAGAAATACTTAGACTCCTTTAATTAGAGAAAATATATCTTTTACTGGAAATCAAGTGGTAGCAACAAAAGAATTCTGAATCTGAGAAAATGGGCGCATAAATCACATATACAAAGTAATGGCAACGTTTCCACCCCCAATAGTTCAAATGGTTCATCCAATTAAAAGTTGTGTATATCATCTTGTGGGCATCTCCAGGTGGTGATGAGGCTTCTGTCCGTTGACCTTGACATAGTTTGATAAAGGGTTGCAGCTGTGCATAGCATAGGATAGAAACCTAAGCAAGAATGTACCCCCCCCCCCAGTTTATACAGTTCTGGTTTGTAACACCTCCAGCTCACTTCCCATAACCATTCTTCCCCTCTTCCCCCCGTTACTTATGACAGCCAAAAGATGCAAAGCAAAGGGAGAAAATCTTGAAGGCTGACACACGTATTTCACAGAGATACCAATTAATGAGTAATGATGACTAGCTTTGTTTCCAGATTCTGATTCTTGTAAATGTAATCCAATTTGATTGACATATTTAGCCTTAAGCAATTATTGCATTTACCATACTCAAAGACTGTCTATGATGTGAGACAGAATGGTGACCCATATGATCCCATTTGTAATAATATATGCATTTTCATTTTCATGTCTCTTTAATGACAGATGGATTGACCCCAAATCTTCACTGGATGCACGGAAGAGAATACAGGGCCTAGCATCCTTGTGTGATTTTTAATGTTGCAGCTAGAACCAAGACAATGTTTTTAATATCAGAATAGCTATTTGTTTTTCCCCTGTATATTACAGTAAACTAGGTGATGTTGTAAGATCTAGCAAGGCTTCCACTAATCCACTGGCTGATGGAACACAAGTACAATTTCAGCCATGGACTATAGGTTTATATTGCTATTCCAGTCTTATACCCACCTTTGTTGTTACCCCTTTAAATCGGTGGAAAAAGATCTTGGATTTGGTAAATTTGAATGTGACTTATTTCCTTGTTTTTAGTACCATTCAGACAATAGTACTTTGAGAGTGCATTTCATGAATAGCAGCTTTATTCTGAAACATTTGGACATCAGCAGATAACTTTCTCTGTTTTAGATAAGAAATAAGTAATAGCAGTTATACTGTGGTTATCAGTTGTATGACTAAAATATTTTAAACTGTCCAGAGTCTGTGGAAATAAAATTAATTTAAATCAATTTAAAATCTAAATAAATAAATAAATAGAAAAGGACTGCAAGTATTTAATATACTATGCAAGAAAAAATAGATTGAAGAAAGCAGCTCTTTGAAGAAAAAGTAGGTTTGTAATATCAGGAATGTTAAAAAGGTATGTAAATTTTTCTCATTCCTTGTTCCATAGGATGTTATATGAAATTCAGATGTGGTGCTGTCAATGGAAAAGGAAGTCACATTTATTTTTTCTGTTCATACTCAGTCTTCTGTGCATACAGATTTCAGGTAAGATACTATGAATATTTCTTTAGTAAATCATAAAAAAACACTAAGTGTTTTAGAAAACTATACTTATTTTGGATTTATGGAAGTTTTGCAAAAGATATTTGAAGATAATTATACTATTATTATTATACTATTAAGATATTATTATTTTGTTAATAAAATAAGTATACATCTTTGTGTCATGTATACACATCTATACTTTTGGATGGATGCTTTCTACTCCATCAGTAATCCTAATTTTTCCTTGTTAATCCTTAGAATTAAATTTCACAATTTATTAAGCTATGATTTTCAGATCAAATGCCCAAGTAACGCAAGGGTGGCAGCCAATGGTGCATTATTTTGTATCTCCAAGCTTGTGTGCAATTGCATAGCGTGCCAGAAACAGAATTTTACAACAGCTGTAACAGTACCAGATATAAGTGCTAAAGTTCATTAATATTAGGAGTTGGTGTAGAACATTCAGTGCAATAGGAATTGAACAATTGTCATACTTTATTACACAAATATCACCTATCAATCTAATAATTATTTCTTTCAATATGAACTGCACCCACAATAGTGTCATTTAAGAAGTTGAGTTTTGTGAAGCATCTACTAAATGTATGTTCTGAATAGAAAGTATGGCTTCATTTGTTCTGTAGAGTTAAGAGTAATTGTATAATTATACATCTGGATTATGAAACCTGAAAATATAAAAGGAAGAAAACAGATCCCCTCAAAGGAAGGAAACAAGCTGGAAATTTCCCTCCTTGGCAGATCTCTGATGTTCTGATAGGAGTGGCCTTTAATTGTGGTTTTGATGTTATTTTTCCTTGTCACCTTACGATATTTGTATGTGCCAATAATTCTTTGAAGGTGTGGTTATATTTTTTTGCAAACAGGAGAATGGAGGATAATTAGGCTTCCTTTACTTTGTGTATATAGTTTGGATTAGATTTGCAATTAAGTAGAGCACAATGACAAGTAAGTAACCATACTAGTCTGTCTCTTCGTGATTGCTATAATAATGAAGTTTATTTCTGAAAATATTTTTTTAATTTTCTTTAAACATTTGATTAAATGGTAAATTGGATTTAGTGAAGACTGGGAGGGGACATGAGTTGCTCTGTGAAGCAGAAGGAAGGAATTGCTTTTGGTACAGATAAATTCTTTCTATTCAGAAGACAACAATAGCGCAAAAAAAATGCAGCACAAGGAAGAGTAGAATAAATTCAGTGGTTGGTGGATAGAAATAAACTGCTAGAAGGAGGGATATGACTGCTACTGCTGTAATAGTCCAGAGGAGAATTCAAATAATTTTACCCCAGTGACAAGACACAAGAAAACTTCAGGTCACAATTGTTAAAGCTGAGAAGAACTTTAAAATGCTGTACAATTTTTGGGATCAATAAATAGTTATTAAAATCATGGTAAAAGCTATATTTTTATAGATTTTTCTGAAAGCTGAGAGACTGGAGCGGATGGGTTATGGGTTCCATAACTTGGAAGGAATGCTGCCTAAGGTTCTCTCCTCCTTTTAGAACCACAGATCTCTGATAGCCAGGGCCATCTTCACAAAGTTTCTCCTGCAAACCTTAACTCTGGGATAGTTATTTTAATGAGGAAAAACACGCCTTTGGATGTTTAGGCCTGAAAAGTGATATGGTTTTAAAAAGTCAACTCTACCACCTTACATTACGTCCTGTAAGCAATTGGCAAGCAGTTGCAATATTTTGGTAAAGCCCTCATTTGATATCTGTTCCTTGTGCTAACTGGATGCTGCACCTCTTGATAGTTCTGGATACTTCAATAGATAGGAATTGTGGCAATAGTCAAAGCAGCTTGGTTAGCCACTGTTAATATGACCAACCCACAAAGGATTGCAATTGTGACATCAAGCATAATTGTGAAACAGTTCCACAACTGCCATATGTGACATCTTGATGATAGCTCACGATCAAAGAATACTTCCAAAGTGAATATAGTGCCTTAAGAGGAAAGTAGACTTAAGTCATATTTTTACCTAGATGTTAATTTGATTTTTTTCTGCTTCTTTAATCATCTTATCTACTTAAGGGATGTTCAAGGCCTCTAATGGCTTTTGTAAAGTTGAGTGCTAAGGAACATACAGCAATGCAGCAAAAAACTCCAGATGACTTCTTGTCTCTATCTTCAAGTTAGATAGTGAGAATACACAGGACATGGGAATACAAGGGAAAAGTAGTGCATAGTTCACTTTTAGTAAGCATGTAATTAGCTCGGAGTAATGTATCATGCTATTATCTTACTACTTTATTTTCTAAGGGAAAATCAACAACATCAACTGCTTATTGTTTAAAATCTGAGTTCAGTACAGGTTTAACTCTCCCTGTCTATACATTTTTCAATATTCAGGTAATGAATTTGCAAGTTTGGTTGGTATTCTGTTAAAAAAATTATGTGAAATATCAGACTGTGAATAATCATAGTATTTTATAATTTGATATGAACTTTAGTATTTCAGAAATAGTAGCTCCTGAATTTTCATGAAATTGCTTCATGAGTACAAATGCTGCAGTGCACTCAAGATCATAAATTAAGTAAAATCTACTTAAAAACAGGAAGCTATTTTTTTGCAATAATGTTTGGAAATACTAATTGAAGTAATAACGCACTTGGTACATGGGTAATGAATGCAGCATACGTAATGAATATTGTAAACTTTTGAACCAGCTATGAAAGGCATTTTAAAAAAAATTGAGTCAGCCACACTGTCCAGAGCCAGCCCTATGATTCGGCATAATAGACAAGTGGATTAGAACCAGTAACTGAAGTGAGGTTAAATATTCATCTATTGTCCTCTAGATCTATTGCACAGAGGACCTGTTTACTGTGCTTATGGCTCATGGAGCTCTAAGTAGTTTGCTCCCTAATCAGAAAAATCCTCAGAGCATAGTACACAGAGCTCAATGCAAGCCAAAATGGTAAGTATGGAAATGATCATAACAAGGGGTTACTGGGTACTTCTATTGCTTGGACATGGATTTTTTTTAAAGGTTGTTATTTAAATAAAAGAAACATTTAAAAATATTAGTATAAGGGAATTTAATGTTGTAATAGGATTTGATATTAAGGTATTGGGTTTTCAATTTTTTCAGCTCTGTTTAGGAAATCTTAAGGAAAGGTACTAATAGAATACACATTTGGAACATGTGCATTATACCCAAAGCACTTTCCCCACTGTTAAAGTAGCTATGTCTTTTTTTGTTCTTGTACCAGTTGTTTCAGAAATGCCTCCATCTGTCTGATATGTGGGCATGCACAGACATTTCTCTTCAAATTTTTTCCCCAACAAGGACAAGTAGCTGTGCATGCATATTCATCCAGGTAGAGCTGGGAATAGCTTTTGAAGCAGGTGCATAACCCTGGGGAAAAGGTGGCTGTCATTACTCTCCAGGAACAGATATTTCAGCTGTACCTCTATGCATTTTGAAGTTCATCTTTTGAAATATTTGCATAGCCCTATTAGCCAATCCTAACAATTTCTCCATTAGTTCTTTTGAAATATCTACAAACTGTTTTATAAGCTGGACATGTCGATATATTTTCCACAATAGGTAGGAAATATAGAACTTCCTAGTTCAACTTACATAAGTTGCATTTATTTTTGTAGTTGCAAAACCAAGAGGCCTGCTTATTAAATAGTAATAAGACAGTATCACCTACCAGGCCAGTCGGTGTTTCATCAGTTAAAAAAACATATCCAAATGAGAATTTATTTACTAAATCCTACACATATTGTCTGGTATGAAAGCTATTCCTGTAGCAAGGGCATGGATTGGAAATTGCACATTTTTCTATTTGTGAAGGGCTTGCTTAACTTTTGAATTAATAGTGTTTATTCAAATACAGGTAGTCCTTCAACTTATGATCATAATGAAAACTGGCCATAATAGTTATAAGATGGTTCATCATGTGAACAAGCTGATTTTTAAAAAAAAACAAGTTTTATTAATTTTCAAAACACACAAATCATCATTATCCATTACATGTTTAAACCTTTTTCCATTATAAATTTAACAAGTCAGATAAATTATAATTCTATTTTAAACCATTTCCATATAAACATACAAAAACCTCTTATTCAATTTCTCTTTACTTCTCTTTACTCTTATTCAATTTCATTATTATTATTTCATCTATTTCTTTCTGACTTAGTTACCATTATTCTCATTCTATATTTCTGCAAGGTTTTATTAATTCTCCCCCCCCCCAAAAAAAAAAAACATATACACACAACACACAAAACATAAAAAAATCTTTTTGGAAAGTAACTTGGACCCAGGTATCTCTCTCTTCATGGACTTCAATTATATTCATGCTCATCTTACATATCATTACTTATTTTATTTACCATTCTAAGTCTTCTATATTAACTTCTCCACATATTTCACTCTTCTTAATTCTATCTTAATTAATCATCTTAATTTGAGTCATTATATTTGTATCTTTTGTCCATTCTTTATTGTCCCTTTGTCTCGTTCCTTATAAAAAAAAAGAAGTTTCTCCTGAAATCACTAATCAGAGTATGATGCCTTTCTATCTCCCCCCTAAATTAATCAAATTAACCTTTAAAATAACGCCCAATACCCAATCCGATTTTGCTTGGTACATTCTATCTAAATAGTACATCCAGAATAATTAAATATATAGTTAAACAATAGATCTAAATATTAAAAACAAATACTATAATAGAAATTTTATAATAACATCAATACCATAATCTTATTAAACTCTTTAATTAAAACTCAATATTCTAAACCTCCCCTCATATTATTAAATTTTAAAACCAATCATTATTAAACATTTCAACATTTTAATCTCTTATCAACTCTTAAACCATTTAAGTTTTCTATTTCTAGTACAATACTACAATATCATCTTATGTACCTTGCAAAATCTTTTTGAAGAAATTATACTTTATCCTTTATCCCTAAAAAAGATTCCTTTTTTCCCATTTAATTTCAAAACTTTGTAGC